GTACCGTCACATATATCCGCGAAGTGACAGGTGCAATCGGCGGTGTTTACTACGCGACGTTCAAGGCCTCTCCGATCGGGCCGCGGATAATACGCATCGCCGAGCGGGTGTGTGAATCGAAGGATCGTCTTTCGAAATCGATTCCATTACACTGTCCGAAGGACGCGCAACGAAAATGGCATGTGATCCTTTCGAAATGAATCTCGCGCGCAACGGGATAATCACCGGTGCCGTACAACGTAACTGCACTCTCCAGCATCCAATAATAATATCTAATTTATAAACATTACCGCAATCTGTAATCATGGAAATTTACAGTTAATTAGGGTTACATCCCCATTAATGCGTAAAACATTTTTCGTTCTTTTTTCTTCTCCTTTCTTGTATTTTGTCGCGCGCGCGTTTCATAACTCGCGCGCGGACGAACGCGCGATATTTATTGCATCTGTCGCGCACGAGGTCACGCTTACTATGTACATTTTATTTATCAGATCGGCGCGAGTGAAGGTGGGAAACAACGGTTAATATTAATTTCCGTTGCACTATCTAGTTAAGTGGTCAAACGGTTAGAGTCATGCATATTGATTCTTAATGCAATAAATTTCCGGCAAAGCGAACGGTTTAATTTGTTTGTTTAATTGAAACATTTTATGGGATTTGTTTTACATTGGCACACGATACGTGGCAGCGTATTGGAACGCTATGCGAGCCTGTCACATTTTCAAATTTGGATAACGCGTTTTGTCGTTGCCCAGAATTTTTTCTGAAACGTAAATTAAAGTCGGTCTCGTTAATTATTAAGTTCCCCGCAATCTGTATTTTAATAAAATATCGATTGTGTGAATTTGTATATGGAAAATATCTTATTATTCGTTAAAAAATTGCTCGCAACCAATAAATTAAACGATAAGATTAAAGATAGAATTACATATTGTTAATTGATGATGAGACAATTTTATTTAATATTTTTATTTATTTTTTTTGGATTACTTTTTTTGCTATATTTTATATGATTGATATGTACTGAATATTGTTTTAAATGCAAATATACCTTTGCAGAATAACGCATTCGCCCGTGGAATACGGCAGATAATAATAGATATGTAATCCGGAACGAGTGCATTTTGGATATTGCTGGAAATTCGTTCTGTAAGCTATACTTTTGCAGATATTGTTATACGATATATGTTCAAGTCCAGCATCGAAACGAATTGTTATTTATTGAAAACTGTAATTATTATTATGGATACAAAGTTTAGCTTAATAAAAAGCTGTAAGCCATTATTATACATATATATTAGATTTTGTCGCGATAATTTGAGATCTGGCGATAAAATATCGAAATATATCATTTAAAGAGGTACGACAATTAAATACGAAAATCACGTTGACATGATATTGCCCGCAACGTTTTCACAATTGTTATTTCTTCTCTAAATAATGGCCGAATGATGCTCTTACGCGGAAAATCATTTTCAACGAGTGGACAGCGGAATTATTCGAAGCCAGAAAGGAGAAAGACGCGAGGGGAGTTAAAGAAGGATATGAATGAATCCGATTTTTAATGAAAGCTGCGTCGGAGTGCGTGCGTACTATACGGCGCGATAGCCGCGCGCGTTTGTTTCTAGAGAACCCTTCAGACCGCAGAATCATCCAGTTACGCCCTCAGGGAACGAGGGAGAAAAATCCTAATAATCGCTGGTCGAAAAATATCACCAGCGAGCCCTCTCGACCGTTTAATTGCACGCCGAAGTACAAAGCATATTGGTTTCCCGGTCGCATTTCCCCACTTTTCTTTCCATCAACCGCCTGTCCCTGTCCGCTTTCTCTCCCTCTATCGCAATTTTTGTCGAGATTTATAGTATACAAGCCTGTGATTTAGCTTATCTAAAATAAAAAAGAAAAATTTATAATTGTCATTAACAGAAAATATTTCTACAATCAATAATTATACATAAGTAATTATTCAAAACTATGATACATATAATTATTGACTGTTAAATTACTTCTTATTAATAAAGATTATAAATGTCTTTTTTAAGTAGGATATATTATTTATATTACATACTAGCATTATGCATTTGAGATTCGCTATTTAGATACACCCAGAATACATTGTTATTATTATTCGATGGCGCTACAGCTCATATCGAGCCAGAATTTACCATGGCATCTCTTCATATGTCTGTGGTGCGCACGCTGATTGTACCACATGTATGGGATCTACAGTACAGTTTAAAGCCGATTCCGAACGGCAGTTTTGAGAGTGATTTTCGTGACAATTAAGGATACTCTCGATTTGCCAGACCTCCGGATAGGAAACGCGGATGTGTGAAAATTTGTTGGGTCTACCGGTAATCGAATCCGGGACCTATGGCATAACAACAGTTCAGTGCTCTGTCACGCCATGCTCCTCGATTACATTATATACTTACAATTAATTGTCAGAATTACGAATATTTGAATAAGTGAGATGAATAATTTCAGCACGGACGACCAATTATTCTTTCTTTTAATTTATTTTTTGTTCATTCTTTTTCTTTTCGTCTGGCTCATTCTCTTGGCTTTCGCAGATTTCATTGTCATAATATTCATCTCTCTTTCCTGGTCCGTGGCAAAACAGATTCGTGGCAAATTGCAACGATTTCTGGTATGATATTCACACCGCAATTATGTTCTTAATAAATATATTTGTAACAGCTGTATTAGAAATACTATATATTCAGTTTATTATCTCAAAATATAAATTTGTAATTACAAGTAATCGCTTATGCGGCAATTTATTTTAAAAAATGTACGTGAAATAAAATCATAAAATTGTAAGTATTAATAGTTATGTTTGCAATTAGATATAATTTTTAAAAATAAATTTTAAAAATATGGGATGTATTTATTTTATGTTAAATGAAAAAATTATAAAATAGAGATAGTTTATAATAAAGATACAATACATTATTTTTCTTGTAGTACTTAAACATAAATATTTTAATATTTAATTTCTTTTGAATAAATAGTATTGATGTTAAATTATAGAAGTATTTTGTTACTTGAAGAAAATAATTTGTCCTTACTTGTAATTATAATATTAATCTATAATAAGAACGTTTGAAAAAGACATTAATTTGATACAATTATTAATTAATTTTGTGCTACGCAAAAATTTGTTTTTTCACTCGTAATGATTTACATATTACGGATTGCACAGAAATGTTCATTATTCGCAAACGGTGCGTGACACAGTAACAACATGCGTCGAATAATCCAGCGTTAAACGTGAAATCAAATATTTGTCACGAAAATTTCATGCTCGGCGTCGTCTGATCATCAGAAGTTGCTGCTTCCACATGCTATTTGCGGTATTCCTGATTACCTCTTTTCGTCGTAATATTTGCCGATATTGTCGCGCTTATTAATAGCGTGTTATCAAATCATCAAGACCAATCAATATCAAATAATATTCTTACATACCACACTTGGAGAACACTTGTACAAATTAATGCAAATTATTGTATTGGAGAAATTTCGCATGTAACATCGCATTCGCTGTTGCATGCGACATTTACGAGATTAGAATTCGTCGAATCAGCTAATCAAGCTAATGTCTATTAATCAAAATCTGTCAAGATAATTTTCCGCATGGCAAACGTCTCTCTTCGCATTCTGGAATAATATTTTGGTTTTTAGCATTGTAGTTTGTATAAGTTTAAAAACCAGTATGTACGTTATTTTAATTTACATTAAAATTATTGAAGCAGAAAGTATAGAAGAATTACGAATATTACCCATTTTTCATGTGTAAGTACTAGAAATTGATTGCATAAAATGATTGTGTAAAAAATATGCATGGTTTATTTTTTAATTAATTTTATCGAGAAATTTTAATTATTGAAAATAGCTATTATTTCTGGCGTACACAGCATCCCTGTTGCAACATGTTGTTACAACGTTCGCTTTTTGAGTGATTTTTCACGCGACAATTCCTAGCTGCAGGCTTTGCCATCTAATAATCTTTTGAAATGTGTCTCTGAATTCTCTATCTGCGTAATTTAATAATGCACCTATAGAATAAAGTTGTTAAATTGTCTAAAATATCAGGCGTTAATTACATTTTTTAACGTAAAATTTCGAATATACTTTAGGACAAAGATTTGGACATTTTTAAAAAATTGTTGGGATTACTTAATCAAATATTTAAAAAAATGTTAAGTGTAACTATTCTCAACATCTGTAGGAAAATTGCAAATAACTTAGTAATTAGAACTGATAGATTTTTTAATAATTTTATTATACTGTTGTGAGTGAATGAATAGGCAATTAAGTATTATTAAAATCAAAGATTACAACGTGCTAGAAATTCATCTCCCAATCTCTCGTGTCGCGAGATAGTTTATCAATAAAACATGCATCGTAGTTTGTAGTTTGTATTAGCTGCTGTGTTCGCGCACGCATATTTCGAATACGGTAAATGCCGTCAACTATAAATCGCGTTGCGTGCAGATGAAGAAAATATTTATGCGATCTATTAAAACAAATACAAACCGGGGTATGCATGCATCGAGCGATGCCGCGACGCGGCGGCCATAGCGCGAATAGCGAGCAAATAAATTCTCATATTGTCGAAAAACAAAACGCACACCGGTTTTCGAAGCGCAAAATCGATCGTGTGGCATGCGGAGGCACACATACATAACGGCGAGACGCGGACTCTCGCCTATTTTGAGGCTGGTTTACGCGATAATTATGTTAATCCTTTTCGCATCGTATACGTTTACTTTCGATCAGATTTAACCGCGCGATAGATCTTGGTGGATTAACTCGCTTTGACTGTCGCACGTTTCGTCGACGCTCATAATCAGTGTTACATCAATCTCTCGCGAAATCGATTACCGCACAACGCGTCTACTGCATTAGAAATTAGGCAATCACCCTAATCGCGTTGGATGATCAAGATCAAAGATGTCTCGTACGCAATATTATCTACTGAATAAAAAATTAAACTAAGTTAAAACTCGAACAACTTATATTTACGGCATGTACATATTCAAATATATATATTAAATTTATATTATTGAGTCTGACATTTTGATCTATGTTATATTGTTACTGTTCGTTTATTCTTACTGGAAATACATATATATATATGTTTATTTATTCATATATACATATTTATATTTATATTCTTTATATACCACGAATTATAAGTATATTTCTGAAAGTATGTGTAATGAAAGGATATATATAAAATATATTGCACTAATTTTAAAGAGTATTATAGACGAATTTATGATACATTTTGTTAAAATTCCAAAAAGTGTGAATCATACGCGACATGTCCATCAATCAAAATTCCAGTCCAGTTTTCTCAATTGTAAGAGAATGATTACCGCAATCGAAATTAACCAATCCATCTGTCCCTATAAATAATTAAAAAGAATTTAATTATTAAACTGATCGACTAAAATGTCTTGATACCGGGCATATTGATCGCTCATTTAGCCGTTATTAAATCTGTGTTATGACGTATCTTTAATTAATTGCAGTTTCAACAAGAGTTTTAATAGTATCTTAATAACGGTAGTTTAAAAGTCATTTTCTGCAAATTATAAAGCCATTTTTGTCATCGGAATAAATATCGAAAATATAAGAAGACCATAATCATTCGAATTGTTACTTACTTGCGGCACGAACAAATACCATTGCTGGTACAGCTTCCTCCTTTATATCCTTTGGCGAGACAGTGAGCGGCGCAAGCGCTGTGACCAACACCAAGACCATCGAGAAGATCACAGGTGACCCTACGCTCGCGATGATGTTCTGTAAAAAATCATCACATCGATATTTATAGTATAGACATACATTTAAATATATTTTAAGAGTTATTTTTAATACATGCACACGTACATTAATTAATTTATAGATTTAGCACTGTTTTTTAAGTGCATATCGCAGTTGAGAATAACCCGTAAAGTTATATTCTTATGTGTTAGATTTCAGATTCTATTATTATACATACCTTCGACGGGAAGTGCGAAAGCGACCGCAGCCACAATCAAAAGAGCGAATACGTATAAGATCTTCATCTCGAGAATTGAGACTTTACCGACCGTTGTAAGTAGAACATTGAATTTAATTTTGCTGTTCTTTATATATCAATGTAAACGATATTATAAATTGCGTCATATGGCGATGGTGGGGAGATTGCTTTATATTAATAAACGCGGTGATTCTCAGAATGAATATCTATGTTGGATCTTCAATGTCCGGAGATAAGAGAAAAGCACATATTTACGTATTTGCTCTTAAAAGAAGACATATCTGATTACAGCTATCCAAAAAGATCACTTGTGTAACTATATTGTAGATATATGCATAAAAATTGCCAGTTGCCTCCGCGACACTTGTCCTTTAGTTATCATAAACAGGATAATTATAAGGTCGCACTAAGGACGAATGAAAGAATTTACTTCAATTTTAGAGACATCTATTTTTATCTTTCAACGTGTTATTGTGTTACAATACCGTATAATACACTACTATTATATTTATAAATACAATAATATTATATTTTATTAAATTGCAATTCTAATAATTTTTTTTACAGATTAATTTTATTATGTATGGAATAACAAAAATTATGAAAATTTAAAGCGACTTTATAACTCTGCACTGCACAACTTTGGCAAAAGGTATAGACGTTGATATTCGTATTTTTTACTCCAAGTTTCATAAAAAATTACGTAATTAACATTGTGATTAAACATCGCGCATAAGATCGCGTGGATATCGTTCTTGATGCTCAAAAACGGAATATTTGTGCTTTAAAATCAGGACTTTAACAAGAGATACATTGTATTACAAGTGTGCGAACTGCAGTGGCTTGTTTCGACGTGAAATGTTTCATTTATATGCAAGAATGCTATCGCGTTCTTCACGAGAAAGCGGAAAGCGCGGAATATATGCAAAAAATGTCGAAACATCTAAAAATGAGAAAAGAAAAAAATGTTACATATTAATAGCAAGTAATTTTTAAATTAATAAAGTATCAAAGAAGGTCTAGTGAGCCTTGCACGGAATTAGTGCTGTGATGTAAAGTATATTTAACATACTAATTTGTACCCAAACGTTTTGGCTTCACATTGAGCCATCCTCAGTGGGTAAAAATACAAAATTTCGTTAATGCATTACATTAACTGTCATTCGTTCGATGTGAGATCGCTTGTAAAATCGCTCGCTGTAGGATCTCTGATCGTTGAAAGGTCGTAAGCATATAATGTAATTCGGTACATTGATGAGTTTCTTTGCTCCTGTTTCCCATATGTAAGAATAGGTTTCAATATTATTATAGGAAACTTACAATTTGTCCTGAATTTATTGGGTCGAGTCGGAGGAGTAACTTAAGGTTAATTATTATACACCTCGTCTTGAAATAGTTCATGTTTATCGCTCGCCTAATTAATGTTCCACTTGACGTCTCGTTTTTATACACTGACTCAAGACGACATCTATAATAATTAAGTTACTCCTCCGACTCGATCCAATAAACAGATTGCAATTTTGTTATAATAAGATTCAAACCTATTCTTACATATGGGAAACAGAGACAAAGAAACTTACCGGTGCGTACCGGATAATATTATATACTTGCGATCTTTCAACAAGCGATCCCACAGCGAGCGATTTTACAACAAGCGATCTTACAGCGAACGAACGACAATTAATGTAATGTATTAACAAAATTTTGTATTTTTATCCACTGAGGATGGCTCAATGTGGAGCCGAAACGTTTGGATGCAAATTAGTATGTTAAAAATACTTTATATCACAGCACTAATTCCGTGCAAGACTCACCAGTCCTTCTTTGACACTTTATTAATTTTTAATTATATGAGCCAGTTACTTATTAAATTTTAAATTTTATGTAAAATTATTATTGTATAATTAAAAATCAAATATTTTATATTTGATATTATCGACAATAATTATATATAGAATCTCGTCAACTTCTATATAATATTACTATAATATAATATTATTAATTGACATCATAGTCATCAAATCAAATCAAAATTAAATTATGTAAAGCGATATAAATATCAAAATTAAATAGATGTAGATATAGATATAAATGAAAAAATAGAGTTCAAAACTCAAGACGATAATTGCGTCCATTAATAATTAATGCAACAGTAGATAAAGTTTCATCTAAGTAGATTCTACGAAAGGCGATATATTAGTTAAATTAATACTATTTCTGCACATTTTTTTCACGTGTGTCAATTTACATGTTCCGTGTTAAAAATTGCGCGAAAATAAAAATGTATAAACTTGGCGCACGTGAAAATATTTCTCGCGCTCGTTATTAAATTTAAAAAATAAAGTAATTATACAAATGAAAATTATATATAATTAGTGAAAATTCTTTTAATATGAAGAAAAAAATGCTACCCGTGTACATCATTATTGTTATATAATAATAATAAAGTAGAAAAACATTCAACGATGGTCAAACAGACAGGTATATCTTCTTTTTTTTCCTAGGAAATGTATGTTAGGTATCTGTAAATGTAAGTGCATGAGTTAAGAGTTTCATACTTTCATTTTTCCGCGACGTCCCTAAAGGCCTAAAGTGCATCGGGATGAAATTAGTACAGCACACGCCATCTGTGACAATACACGTAACTGTTTTCTCATTCCATTATAGATACGATGGTAATAAAGTGCTTAGCGTAGAATTAAAAAAATATATATGTATATACGTATATATGTATATTGAGAGAGCAGCTTGTAATTAATTCGAGAATGAGACTTTTATTTCAACAAAAATTCAGACGCATAACGCGATATTTGTTTATTCTGTTCTATATTTCGCAAGTTTTTACAATTATCGTGCGCGTACTTTAAACGTATGTCAGTATATTATGAGGATGTAATTCGCAACATATCGTACTGTTTTTCGTATTCTGCCTCGCTGAAATTTCACTATGTGACCTACAAATTGTCATTTTTTTTTTGTTCTAAAATTTCGATATTTCTTTCAGCTCCACACTAGAGACCTGCGCGCGATCTCGTCTGAAGTAGCCGCGCTCGGGCCCCTCGACTCTCCAATCGGTTCAATCGTCCCGGCCCGGCCGGTGTCGCACGGTGCTACATACACGCGCGTACGTATATACGTGCACACACGCGCGTGTCGCGAAACCAGGCGAACTTCTAAATTCACGTGCTTCGTTGACCGGCCTCCAACATTTCCGGCCACAGCAGGGAGTCCAGGTGAGAGGCTGCGACTCGGCGCGAGGCGCGACTTCGGGAAAGGAGGCGAGAATCCAGGTTAATGGCGTGTCGCACGACGTTCATCCTTCCGGCGAGCGTCCTTCCGGTCCAGGGTAAGAGCGGCGGCGGCAGCAGCCAGCGGCTGATCGCTGCACACGGCAGCAGCTGAGAGGGAAAACACGGCGAGCGCCCACCATATTGCGTAAGGACGACCGGCCCCGGGCAGAAGATGTTCGTCTGCGGTAGAATCGTCGGCCAACTGCCCGCCAGGCTCACACACGCGAATCGCCTATATCGACCTGTAAAATACGTCGGTGCGTATCGGAGTTACATCTGAACGATTCCTCTTTCTCTCTTTTCCGTCCTCCCGTTTCGGTGCACGCTACATCCAGCCGTTCCGAGGGAACGGTCTCGTTTCCCGCCTATTTTACATTTTTTGTCGACGAGAGAATCTCCATTATTTTCCTTGTTTTCTGCACAATTGCCTGCGCCGCGATTGCGTAAGCTTTTGCGAGCGATAATTGTACGGATTGGATCAACGGGACTTTGTTTACAATCTTCCATGCGGCGTGTCCGCTCCGAAGTAGGCAGCGGATAACATAACCTGGAAACCGCGTGCTTCTAGATTTCTTAGAGTTAATAACTTACATAAGATTTAAAGAGAGAGAGAGAGAGACATTCCTATCTTTTTGGGGAAAAATTGCCATAAATGCCTTATATTATTTTATGCATAGCATTTATTGCATTTATATCACTGTCCAACTATTTTCAGTCAGTAAACAAACGTTATCTCCTTTTATCTCCTTGATAATACTACCTTGCTTAATACCCTGTTGATAGCTTGCTAAAAACATTTCCAGGAGCTGTAAATATTAGTAACTTACGTCACAGTAGTGATGCAAGTAATAAGAAGCCAACAGGCACCACTATCAAGCCAGAGGAATGTATGCCCTATCAATCGAAATATTCCAAATCACAAAAAATTGCTCCTGCTTGTGAGACGGGAGCGTCTTGTCCAGCGTCGCAGGAAGGATGCAAGCCGAACGGCAATCAAAATCAGCCAAGTGAGAAAGGCTCAGATGGCAAAAATGGGAAATATCAATTCCACTACTGGCACCTACTTGCCGCCTTGATCGTGACGGGAGTTGCATACAAGGTAATACTATGTGAAAACATTTTTACTTAATTAAGAACAGTCGATTAATTCAGTCGTCTTTATTGTAATTTTTTTTTCAACAGATATCTTCATCGTTTTTATCGAAAGATGACAAAACAGAACAGAAGGGCAAAAGTAAAAGTAAGTTAAATCAAGAGTATAATATTTTAATATAATAATAGAAATGTCGAAGAAATATTTTGCTTACATGTATTGTTTGTGCTTTCAGAGAAGAAAGAAGGGAAAGGCCATTGGAGAAATAAAGTAAAAGTTCCAGCAGAATCTAAATTTTTACCTCAGGAGGTACCTTATTTATTGATAGGTGGAGGAACAGCTGCATTTTCAGCATTTAGATCAATTAAATCTAGAGATCCCAAAGCTAAGGTATGTAAGCAATCGATTTACATTTTCTCCTTTTCTTATTCACGCATACAAGAATTTTTTTCCAGGTTTTAGTTGTAGCACATGAGGGAGAATTTCCGTATATGAGGCCACCGTTGTCCAAAGAACTCTGGTATAACACAGATAGAGAAACAACTGCACAATTACGTTTTAACCAATGGAACGGAACTCAGAGAAGGTAAATTTTCCTAAATTTAAACGTACAGTTAATAATGTCGTTAGTACAATTGTCTTTCTCTCTTGCATAAAGAATTTTCATATTTATTTTATAGTATTTTCTATGAACCGCAAGAGTTCTACTCGAATGTTGCTCATCTCACTGAGTCGGATAAGGGTGGAGTAGCTGTAGCTATGGGTTGGAAGATTACGAAAATCGATGTCCAAAATAAAACAGTGACTCTCGAAGATGGTTATGAAATAAAATACAACAAATGTCTCATTGCAACTGGTAAGATTTTGTTAAAAAATTTATGCCAAACTTGAGATTTATAATTGAATTATATATGTAGTTATATATAATACATACATGTAATTATATTTACAGGCACATCACCTAAAAATCTTCCGATATTCGAATCCGTTGAGGACGGCGTAAAAAACAAAATTCTAACATTTAGAACGAAGGATGATTTTCTCAACTTGGAAGAAAATGTCTCTAATCCTAAATGCAAGAACGTTGTAGTTATCGGTGGTGGTTTTCTCGGCTCGGAACTCGCCTGCGCGCTCGCTAGGAGTTGTAAGTTTTTTATTTTTTGTTATCAAAATATTGGAAAATTACTCTTTTAAATTATATTAGGAAATATTGTGTTTTATTATAGATAAATCTAAAAATATTTTCCAAATTTATAAAGAAAAGTTTATAATGGCACAAGTATTACCAGAATATTTGAGTGAGTGGACCACAAAAAAAGCTGAAGCAGAAGGTGTTCACACCATACCTAACACAGAAGTTCAAGATTATAAATATAAGAAAGGCCGATTATCCCTCGTCCTCACTGGTGGTGAGACTGTACGTTGATATAATCAAGCTTTTACTATAAAGTTTACATTAACTTTTAACATAATTAGTCAAATACTCTGATTTATATTAAATTTTTTTAATTTTTTTTTTGCAAAACAGATTGATGCTGATCAAGTGATAGTAGCGGTAGGTGTTCAACCGAATACAGAGCTGGCCGCAACTTCCAATTTAGAGACGGAGCCTAAAATAGGAGGATTCCTCGTTAACGCTGAATTAGAAGCGAGAAGCAATCTTTGGGTTGCCGGTGACGTCGCATGTTTCTATGATGTCAAACTTGGTAGAAGAAGAGTCGAACATCATGATCATGCGGTTACCTCCGGAAGATTGGCGGGCGAAAATATGACCGGCGCGGGTAAGATTCAACAAATTTTAGAGGTGTCTCTAAAAAGTAATGCATTTGCGACAGCGTAAAAACAAAAATGAATTTCTCGCTACAGGTAAACCTTATCTGCATCAATCGATGTTTTGGTCGGACTTGGGACCTGACGTAGGATATGAAGCGATAGGTATTGTAGACTCGTCCTTGCCAACGGTTGGAGTTTTTGCGAAAGCGGCGGAGGCAAATGCCGCAATGCCGGTTAATAATCCTAGCAATGTGAGCAATCCTCTCAGTGAATATATGTATTATGTGATATATTTAATTGTGGAACTATTTCAGTTAGACTGGTTTTTTTTTTTCTTAGGAACAAAAGACAAATTCGGAAGACTCGCGATCTAATGAAAAGTCGGAGTCATCGGTGTCACAAATTGTGAAAAGTATTAATAACGCAGAAGAAAAGAAGAAAGAATTGTCTGAAGATAGCGTGAAGTCGGAACAATTTACAAAGAACGAAGATTTTGGAAAGGGCATTGTTTTCTATCTGCGAGACGATGTTGTAGTAGGAATAGTGCTGTGGAATATCTTCAACCGAATGTCGATTGCCAGACGGGTAAATTGTTTTTATTTTTTATTTTTTATTGGGCTGCAAGCAAGACTATATGATAATTTAATCACAATGATAATTTTGATACTGTTTCAGGTTCTTACAGGAAATACGAAGTATGATGATTTAAATGAGGTAGCTAAACTATTTACCATTCACGAAGATTGATTACTTGAGAAATAAGGATTTGACTAACAAATAAGAGAATGAATGACAATATTGAGAGATTATTGTATCGTATTATACGATTGTATCGTATATGTAAAAAGATGTCCGAGGTGTTATCATTGGAAAACCTGAAAGCGAGACCTGGCGTGTCGTTGAATTTCGCAGGTATGCGAATTACACGAGTACTAATGTTATGTTGTATACATGAAGATTTCTAAATACAATCTGTACACAAAATGTTCTCATACATGTGCAAAGTGTACATACGTTCATTGTAGCTAATGCTAATAGAAAGCATTTAGGAAATAGAAGAACAGAGAAATTTTTATTAATTATAACGCAATTGATAATTGTTATTTGTTATATACACACATTTTACAATTATTTCAGTGTTAAGAATCTGTAAGATATTTTCTTTTGCATGAATGCAATTTTGTTTATGATTCGACGCTGTCGATGGTGTCTTTTTTTTCGTTGCTTTTTAAGTTACCAAGATGAGTGAGGCATCATGTCTATATTTCATCTTCTGAATTTAAATTTTTAGTCATTGCCGGTAAAATTCGATTTCTATATCGTTGACCTAAATTATCCATATACGTAATGTAATTATGACAGCGATACTCGTCCAATACCTGTATAAAAAATGCACTTGGCAAGTTATATAATGACATTAAATGTAAATAATTTTATTTAGTACATTTCATATGCACACCATGCTTTCCGGCCACATTTTTCTGTTCGTTAAATCCTGTAGCAGCTCTTCCTGACAGAATTGCAGAAGTGATACGGCATAATACACCATATAATCGGACGGGTACAAAATGCAAATTGCAAAAAAATGAACTATCTCGCTCCATGGAAGGATTCCCCAAAAGCATTGCGATAACATTCTATTGAATATCATCCACCAGTCGATACCGAAGACATCCTATATTTATCAGGAGAATCAGGGCGTTATATTTTTAAGTAACTAAATTCTTTAAATGATAACACTTTCAACTTTTAATCACCTTTAATCCATATTTGATGTTTGGAAGCTCGATATTAACCATGGTTTCTAAAACTTGCATAAAAGTGAACTGCGAACTAGTGCTTTCGTTATTTTTTTCATCGATAACTTTGCCTAATTTCGGCCAGAGAAGCAGTGTCGATGGAAATTGAATTAATTGCATGATAAAAGTCTTGCATCTGTAACCAATTATATTGCTAATTATTATATTGTCTGATAATATATTGATATAATAGCATATTTTCTGGTCAATGACGAAGAAAAAGATATCGAGACGGAATGATGAACATCAATCCGGTGAGAACCAAGTTTTCAATCTGAGACCAGCCAATGATGATATCTGATTAGCTTGAGTTAATCGTTATTGATAGCTTTGAAATACTTGTTTAATCATTTGTTTCTTTGTGATTAAAATATCGCGAAGAGATATGGATTAAACGAGAATTCTTCTGCCACTACATGTGACCATACCGGATATTAAACAAGGCTATCAAAGGATTAATTCGCGGTCAGCTGAGGCTCTAACTTTTTATGCTAATGATTTGCTATCGCACAGTAAATTAATAATATTTGAGTTAATATATCAATATATTTAATATATCAGATTGCATACTTATCCAGATCTCCATCACAGATAATGAATACTGTTGCCAAGAACCAATCAAAACCCTCGAATCTGTTCGGTTTATTGTACTGTATAAATATGTAAGCAGAATGAATGAATTGTTTCAAGTTTTTCTGACTATCGTTATTATTTTTTAAAATCTCTCGTTGCTCGGCGTAATTCAAAACAATGTTAATAGCAATTATGTCCTCTGGAAGCCAATAATCTGTGTCGTAGGTTATATTTTCTTGCCATTCAAAGTGTTCTACCCATTCCGCAGTTGGAATGGCTTTGTTCATTTGATTCAACAAATTTATCATTATCGAATTCTAAAACAAAAATTATTTTCTTAGTTTTCTGACATTGTAATTAAATAGGATACTAAATTTATTTTTTGCGACCTCACTTTGATCGGGCATCGCGAGGCTTTGTGGGCCGCTCTGACTTGCGAAACCCAACTGATGTCTAGCAATCCGGGCCTTTCCTCCTGCAGCATATCGCTCAGCTCCGAATCGCATTCGATTTCTCGGTAGTCCATCATGTCTGCGTATACTCTGGGCGGTGGAAACTCCGAAAAAAGTTCATATTCCTCAAATGGTACGACATATTGCCTCCTTTTATATGTCATGTAATATGATTTTAATAAAATATTATGTCGCAAGAAACTGCATTCGTCAATTATGTATTCCTTTGTCGGCTCTGGCTTATCATCATCGCCCTCTGTTTTCTCATAATCAATTTCATCGTCGGATCCTTCCTTGTGAACTTCAATGAAAATCGTGCTGTTTTTCTGAAGGCCTAACAACGCTTCCTATAAAAATTATTACGTAATTATTACATACAAGTGTAATTGCTCTTTTATCGCGTGGGACGTACTACCTGGAAGTTCAACGAATTCAATAAGCAGGCACAAACGTCTAGATTCCAAATCACTGTATTCAACGACAGAAGTGCTAAATAATGATAAGTTGAATCCTCGTCTGTCGCAGCCTGCAGCAGCTCGGACAAGTTCGAGGGATAATCCTTTTCCTCGTCGTTATCCGACTCGCTGTCATTCACCATAAACGCGGCGAAACCTATCAATGGATATATACATTCTATATCCGTTAATCAGTACATTGAGGGATATTGTTATAACCGATTAAGTGCTTTACAATTAAAATTGAGGGAAAATAATGTAAGTATATGTAGAAATTCGTCGACGTTCTCTGTGTCCCAAGGATCGTAAAAGAATCTGGGATCTTCTGCGTTTGTGCAAGTTTGCGAGAGCAAAGTTGACAGGACGTGGGGCCCGAGATCCGCGAGCACGTTGTAGCCCAGATCGAAATAACCGGCCGATGAGATGAAGCTGATTATGTCGGTAGAACTCCAGATCACTCTTAGGGGAGCGATTGATCCGCGAATCAGTTCCTCGAATACCAACTTCTCGTTAACGAGCGCTTGCAGCCCGAGCGGTATCGTTACCATTTTTAGCAAAACTTTTTTGACGGCACTGTAATAGAATTTCAGCAATTGTAATCGCGAGCTGACATTTTCGGAAAATAATAAAGCTTGTTTTTCTATCTTAATCACCTATCGAGCTGTTGAATTTTATTTTCGTTCTCGACGCTGCACTTGTTCAACCTTTTGTAGAAATTGGTGACGGCCGGATAGAACTGCGTCTCGATCTGTTCCTGCGCGGCCTCGTAAACGTCATAAACGTCGAATAACTTTTCTACGAGATTAAACGAGGTCAGAATATATTTTATATCCATTATAGAAAACGGCTGTTTCAATAAATTCGCCGCGTACAGCATCACGATCGCGACCGGGCACTTCGACGGTGCGTTTTCGGAGTGCTCTTTACAATTCGTAGTCAAAAACGCCGGGCCGTCTGCCGTGTTCACCATGTGAGAAATAATGCTTAACGTGTGCGGCCAAATCTTTATATTGTTATCAGAAAGAGATGCCTTGCGGCACAACGCAGCGTGATAAAATTCAGCGTTGTACAATACATCCGAAACATTGAGCATATTTTGAAGAGCGCTGCAGCAAGTGTTGTACACTCCACTCGGTGCTTCTGCCGCCAATCTGTTCAAGGAGCTCAACAATTCTACCAAGAAATCAGCCACGTCGAATGACGTTTTCAACGGACACTCCGCGAGCAATTTTCTACCCGCCTCGTAGCTGCAGAGCTGCGAGACGAGCGTTAAACAGTGCAGATAAGTCGCGGTTTCTATCGTGTTGCCGGAAATACACAGCTCGTTGTTCTCGTCCATAACGGAGACGGACAAGGAACAGGATGCCTCTGCCAGGCCGCTCTGAACGCATTCGACTACGTTCTGCAGAAACGCCGGCGACTTGGCCAGAACGGCGATGAACGTCTTCCTGACCGAGAGACCGTGAAGCCACCGCTTGCTCCACTTGGCCTGCGGCTCCAGCACCGAGATGATATTCAGCATGTTCAAGGTTTTGGGCTGCAACGAGTTGCCGAAGCTGTGCGTACTGAGAAATACTATGAACTGCTCTATAACTTCCTCCACCGTCTTGTCGCTGTGCCTGGTGTTCTTCAGCATTTCCTCCTGATAGCGGATTATTAAGTACATTATGCAGAACAGTTTCTCGTGCAGGAAGAACTTGAAATTAATTCCGGAGATCAGAGTGGGCAGGGTCTCGCGCACCTTCGGCGAGTGATACTGCGCGTTGAACGCGCTCAACAGATTGCCGTAAGTGTGGTCCAATTGCGAGCAATTCAGCAACTTCGCGTGTACCTGCATGCTGGCGTCGAATATGGCCCTGCTGTCGTCCGTGAGACCGTCCAGCAGCGTCTTCTGGAAAACGTCCCACTGGGAGCTGCTGTTTACGTTGGACAATTCGATCTTCAGTAAGATTTCGTAACCAGCCAGCCTCACGTGGACCGGCTTGTCGCGACTGATCTTGTCGATGATGCAATTGTACTCCTCCCCGCCTCCTTGCGGAGAAGCCCAATCGTCCGCCGCGAGATCGCTGGCGAAGGAGAGCAACGACTGCGATTGCGACGCCGCGGACGAGGGTTTCACCGCCACGTATTGCTCGGCGATCACCTTCCTCATGGAACTCAGCAGAGCGGCCGTATCCCTCGAATGCGAGAGCTTGTAGGCGATATCGCTGGGCACCTGCTCCTTGTCTATAGCGCTTTGTATAGTTTTCCCGAACTCCTTCTTCAAGCATTTTCTCAGCCATTTGTGAAGATCCGGCGGTACACCTTTGTCCATACTTATTTGCCTAAGCTAATACTTAGTAAACCTGTAAGTAAACCTTAATCAAGTACATACAACGAAACGCACGTGCCTAAGTGTCCATAGCTTTGACATTCGTTGTCATAGCAACGGAAGGTGTACACATACGAAGACGTATATGGAACCGTCCTTTGAATAATCGAAGCCACGCGATACAATGAAATCTTTTTTATAACAAAATTATACAAGATCGTTATACATGTTTTAGAGGTCATATAATATCAGTTGTACTGTATCGTATGAATAAATCTGAGTATTATATGTATTATAGTAACTCAATTACGTAATTCAATTAGCGTGCAGGTACTATGATATTCGGAGACTTGGAGCGTAACGCGTTAATTCCACCTTGCAGGGAGCAGACTCCTACGACGTTGCATTTTACCAGAAAGTCTGCAAACTGTTGGAAAATATATTAGAACAAATTATCTCTCTTCACAATTTCCCGTTATATGAATTTACTTGCCAGCGCATTGTTTTGATTGTGCGGTCCAATAATCACTACGACGCTGCTCTTATTATCTATCAACGGTTTTGCATGCGGCCCGAGCGTGTCGACGTGAGTTTGAGACAATTGCACGCTTGTGAATGGAATGTTGATACTGCCGAGAATAGCACCCCTCTCGAATCTGTTCGAGATAAATTATTGATTTAAGAAACAAATCCAACGTAATGTTATTTTATTATAGTTGGAAAAAAACGAATACTCACTGTATATTACTGCGCACGTCAACCACTATCACTTTGCTCGGTGAGTTGTTGTAGAGATTTAGAAAGTCGTCCACGCTTATCCTCGGCATTTTCTCGGTTCCCGCTTCGGGTTCAATCCAGTTTGCATCCTGCGGATTAGAGTTTTCAATTAATTATGTAATATGTAGAAAATTAAATACATCGATCGAAATACTGTACCTTCGTTGTATTGTACTGGTGTTTTCTATACGTAATACTAGCGGGTGTATTTTGATACATTGTCATGGAATCTTTAACGCACAATTCGATGTCAATCTCGGGCAGATCGGAGAACAGGAGAATGCACTCGTTGAAACCCGACATCAGTAAGGAGTCTCGCAGTTGCTTCAATATCGCTAATCCAACCAAGAGAGGAAACGACGAGTCTCCCAGCAATAGTTTATCCCATAGATGTAATATCTTGTGCAGCGGAAATACATCTAAAATATTAGCAATCTTTGATAATCGACGATCAAAAATAATACGGCGTATTAAAAATGTATGAATGGCAAAACACTTACGTGAAAACATTGTTAGGAACCACGGTATGGCAAAGAGCTCCGGTACAAAGTTTATGGATTTCAGATGATTCGCCAATTGGGGATCGTGGAACGCGATGATTTGGGAGAACTTGCCCAGATACTCCTGTATCACCGCCGAGTTGTCTTTCAGAAAGAACTTGTGGAGGTACTTCGGTATGAAGGTCGAGAGACACGCGAAAGCTCGAGCTGAAAATCAATTGTGCGATAAATTAAAGAATACAAGTACGCCTGTCGAATGATCGTACCTTCGTTGTTAAAATTCAAATAAAGAAACGGCGCTGTCAGCGAATCGAGTCCTTGCCAGTAGACGTAATGTGGATTATTTCTGACCCACGCCTTCAGTAATCTCTGCAATCGTTCATGCCCAGCGCCGGATGACAGCAATTCGCTATACTGATGGCACCTCGGTATGTCCACCTCTATCTGAAATTATTACATACATATCTGAAATCAAATTACTGACGGGATGCATTTATATTGAGTCGAGTATCATATTACAGATATAGCGGTTATACCTGCCGATCGGTGTGAGTGGGCGTTTCCTTATCGATCATATCGTAACGCTTCTGTATGTCGCCGGTGATACTAAGCAGAGCCGCCCATACGGCACCTCTAACCGGGGGCGGTATGTCCTTGTGCGCCTCCTCGATTATTGCCTCCTGAGTGAGCGGATAAGCCTGCAAAAGTCTGTCGAACAGGACGAGCCTGTAAAACTGATACTCCGTGTCGCGCTCCCTGATGATCAATGGCAATTGTGACGCGGCATTCGTCAGATCTTCCTGCGCCTGAACTCGCATTCTGTAACGTACAAACTTTTGTAATTTATCGTAATATCGAGATAAATACGGGATGAGATAAAAGATAACTAATAAAATACTGACTGGTTTGTCAACCAAGGGTAGTTCGCTATGTATGGGATATGAGCTAAACGCTGACGAAGAGTCTCCATAGGAACTTTCACGACTCTTACATCGAGCAGACTAGCGGTGTCTCTCTGGCCAAACATGTGGCCAAGTAATATGACTAAACTGAAACAGACGAAATTTCAAATATTCGATATAATCCCACTGAACAATATAATCAATTGTTATTATGCATATATAGACATGTTTTGGAATGCATATATAAACATGTTTACGTTTTGGAAAATTACTTTGGAATAGTTAAGATAGGTGGCCTTGATCTAATGAGACTCTGCTTCTTTAGATCCACAGTAATATCCCCGCCGGCCAATTGCCACAGATAATACAACTCGTCCATTTTCCTAACAATAACATTCTTATAGAGATTTTCTTCCGTTTCCTGTATATTTCTCATCAAATGTTCCGCGAATAACGGCAGCTCCAGCAACTCCTCCGGAGTCTTGCGCTTGGTAGGATGAATTTGCAGACACGAATCTACGAATTCCTTCAGCTCCCTTGGTAACTTCTGTAAGATACAAAAACACAAGATACGTAAGATGTGTGACATTACGATGTAAACAGATTAGAATGCACGATACGTAAGTCCTTCATACTTCATAAGCGTGGAAACAATTGTTTTCCCTGGCAAGACGTTCGAAAATGCTGGTGTCGCACAACATCAAGCTCAGAACTTTCCTCAAGCACTGGGCCAATTTTACGCCAGGCCAGATGGGCTGTCCCAGTAGTTGCTCCGCTATAATCATCCCCAGGGACCAGGAATCTATTTTGACACCGCTCGGACTGGGATTCAGAAATACCTCTGGCGCCGTGTATTTCGGAGAACTGAGAAGAGAAATTTTACTTGTGATTCTATGACAAGCAGATGAATCTATTATCCAACATATCAGACATATCGAAATTGGAGTATTTGAAAATACCCGATTGGGAAGGACACATTCCTTCCTCCGTCTGTCATGTAATACAATCCGTAATTGTACAACTGGACGTCGCCGTTCTTCTTAATCAATATGTTATCCGGATTCAAGTGCCTGTGCACCAGATCTAGTTCGTTCATGCGTCGCAGCGCTAAGAGACTCTGAAAGGATATCTTGACGATCTCCTCTGTGCTCAGATCATGCCTAGTGCTCAACGGATCTCCACTGTACTCCGCAACGACCACGATCCTCTCTACAAATGTGCAAAATATAAAATTATACGATATCTCGGCGGGAGATAAAGGTTTGTTCGTAAATCGTCACGGACGGCTCACCGTGCTTGCTTCTGATTATGTCGAGATACTGGGAGAGATGGGGATGGTAGATGGTCTTCAGAAACTGCGCCTTCCCGTAGATGGTTATGGAGTTCGGCGTGAGCGGCAGACCGTTGCTGCCGCACACCTCCACCGGGTGACTTTGCGCGAAGAAAGTCACGCCACCCAGGCATCGCTCCTCGTTCTCCAGCAGTGCGGGACACATGGCGTTCGTGGGGTAAATCCATAAATCCTTCTCCGATTATACGAGCCGACCCCGCCGTTCCGCTGACTCGGATTTCCTATCGCCTGCCGTCATTGTTGCCGCTCTCGGCATCTCTTACGACATGCCCGACGTCCGCCTACCCCTATGCCATAGGTTATAACAGCTGTCATTCAACAAACACACACATGGGAGCGTAGTGCGTGAGTATCTCGCACTGCAATGCCGATTGGTATCATTCCACCATAGTATGGTAATCGGTAAGAATCACCGCGATACGCGATATGCTGGACATTTAATTCAGAATCATCAGATTAAACGCTTATAATTTAATAAACGTTTAGCTTAACCTAAACAAAAATTAAAATAAATTTTTTTTTTGATTGGGTTGAAGACACACAAGTTCCCCAACCGGGGAGCATAACCTCAACAAAAAAAAAAAAATAAATTTATATCGCATGGTGGTTTTATAATAATTTATATAATGTTGAAGACGCGTATCATATGATGATAAAAAATATCTTGAGCCGAGAAGAACGACCGACGAGTGTCGCTGTGTATGCATACAAATAATAGGCACTGGCACTGTCCTGGCACCGACTCACCACGACGCACCGAGAGGCGTCAGTGGAAGATATACGTCAAGGTTTGGAAGAAGTACCGAAGGAGAGTGGATTTTCTTACTGACGATTTTGATTATTTACAACCGCCCCGTTCTCGATGAATTCGGATTAACGTAAGTAATTGTACGACACGATAAATACACGTACTCGTCGCGATATCTCGCTCTTCGTTACTTGTTTTGGGCATGGTTATAATTTCTGCTCCATTTCCAAGCTACTCTCACAACCTATGAATATTAATCATTGTTTTCTAATTTTACCGTTTCTTAAATTTGTTATAACATCTCACAGTTAAGCATCCTTCTCTCTGGTTAAGCACACAATTGCATTTCTAGGTAAAATAATTCGACATGTATAAAAATGATGCAAGTTTAAATATACTCTGTGTGTATATGTAGGTTGTTTTATTGCAAAAATAAAATTTGCATATCAAGAAGGAAATAAATATATGACATATTAATTTGGATTTAAAAGTTAGAATCATTAAAATTAAATTAAATATGCAGTATAAGTTTTGTCAATAGGATTAGACCTATCCATATTTTTTTTTATTACAGAATCTCGTCAGGTTATTTTGCTGGGACATTTATAATGTCTTCGGTCCAGCGTGCGTTTGCTCACAAGTTAAGCAAGCAGCATGCCGCCGACGTAAGGCGGCAAATTGCCACTTCTACCTCCTATTCTCGTGATTTGTCAAAAAGCGGTAGCAGTGTATCAGGATTTTCTTCCACGGTACGTAGTCTTCTTTGAAAAACTGGAATGTGAAAGTTACAACTAATATTGAAGTAAATTAATATCTAACTGTTGCAGATGTCCTTGTGTGAGGTATTAGAGCCACTTGATTACGAAGAATTCTTGGGACAACACCAGTCAGTACTGGACCGTGATCCTTTAAAACCGATACTAGATTTCCCACCGGGAGATGTTGAATTGAGAGTCATAAAGAGGAAGATTCGGACAGAGGAGCCAATAGTACCGCACGAATCAATGTAAGAAAAATAATGGAGGCATTATTATTACATTATACATAATTTGAAATTTGTGATAATATAATGTATTTTTTATCTTAATCATTTGGTTTTTAGAGATACAGTGTCGCCTTATGTGAAAAGATGCATCGAGAGCTTTACTTCGGACTGGGTTGTAATACATCGCAAATACAAAGGGAGAATCTCGCCTATCGCCAGAGACAGATTGCTTCAGGATACACCTAGACAAGATTTCGAGGTATATCTAGTGCTGGAGATAAAATTAGTTTGTTAGTGAGATGCAGGAACTGAAAGTAATCTATTTCAATTAGGTGGATCAGGAAGATGCAAATGGCTGTGTATCACCGAGCGAAGAGGATGATTTGTCCAATGCCGGAGATACTCCGAGAGGGTCTTGGGCGAGTCTGGATTTGCGACATTCGCAGCATGATCCTCTTTTGCCGAGTTTATTGGATCGCGTCTGCCTCGAAACGATCGATCAGATGAACGAGCAGAAAAGATTGGAGGATCGACAGGTACATGATTGGCAAAGCGGCAAGTTTGTGGGTTTTATTTTGATTAAATATTTATTTTCTTTTTTTTTCAGGAAGCCTTATTCCCGCTTTATGCTCCTCCAACCTCTCCTGACGACGAATGGCAGGAAATCAGCGTTGCTCCGGACCCTACCGAGCCTTTTGCTCATAAAGTTCTCGTGAAGTGTCTGCAGTTAAAATTAGAACTGGAAGTGGAGCCAATATTCGCGAGTCTTGCGCTGTACGATGCCAGAGAAAAGAAAAAAGTACGATCTCTTTTTCTAAGTTAAAATTACGATTTTAAAAACATAACACTAATTGTACATTACGAATCGTTTTATTTCAGGTGTCAGAGAATTTTTACGTCGATATGAATTCAGAGGGATTGAAAAGAATGCTTGGGGGACACATTGCTTATAGCGATGCAAGCACGTTAGCCAGAAGCTGCGTTTTGAGCATCAGCAAACCCAGTCCCGATTTGTTTCTTGTCGTACGGCTAGAGAAAGTATTGCAGGGCGACATATCGGAGTGTGCCGAGCCGTATTTACGCGAAGATAAAAATAAAGATAAGGTAACAAAATAGGATGAGATAGTCATGCATTTTAAATATTTAATTATAATTTTTTTTCTTATATCATTGTTTTATTCATTTCGGTAGGTCAGAGCTGCCGCCGCCGCTGCATGCGAACGCCTGGGTCGTTATAGAATGCCTTTCGCGTGGACTGCAATTCATCTGTCTGGTGTAATCGGTGGTGGTGGCGACACGGATAGCACTGGCAGCGCTGGATCCTTAGACAGAAAGTCAGGCAGTCTGGAACAGTGGCGAAAGAAGGTGGAACCGCCGACGCGACGAGGTTCGCTCGAAAGACGCAGTTCGGACAAAAGACGCAGTTGGTCACCGGACGATTTTGCCAATTGCCTCGACAGCTTCAGGTTTGTATGACGCTCTACTTTCCTACTGAAAGACTTAAATGTAATGCCTTGATATTTTTGCAGGCCCATTACTTTAACAGTCTCAAGCTTCTTCAAGCAGGAAAGCGAACGACTTCGTGATGAGGATCTTTATAAGCTTTTGGTTGAATTACGAAGACCCGGCTCCAACTTGAAACGATTGAAATGCTTACCAGGGATATTAAAATTGGATCTCAGTCCTAGACCCGAGGAGCTACCGAGGTGTCTCGATCCTGATCTTAGAAGATTAGTTCCGTATCCGGATGAAAAGAGCCGACCGGTTAAGGAGATACTCGAATTTCCGAGCGAAGTTGTTTCGCCAGATTTAACGTATCGTAATCTTCTGTATCTTTATCCCAAGGTGTGTACAAAATAAAATAAGTTTTCAATTATTTTCTATTAATTGCATATTAGAATTACGTTCTATTATTTGTAGGAAGCGAACTTCAGCTCGAGAACTGGCTCGGCTCGCAATATCGCCGTAAGAATTCAGCTCATGGGAGGTGAGCAAGAAGCCGACGCGCTCACAGCTATCTTCGGCAGATCGTCGTGTCCCGAGATGACGCACGAGTACTTTACGTCTGTGTCATATCACAACAAGAATCCGAACTTTTACGACGAAATCAAGATAAGACTACCCGCGGATTTAAGCGCGAAACATCACTTACTCTTCACCTTCTATCATATTAGCTGTCAGAAGAAAGCGGAACAACCAAACGTCGAAACGGCGGTCGCGTATACGGTAAATTTCGATCAACAATTAATAAAACTAGCGGATTAATAATTTAATTGACGTACTGAATGACTATATAAAATGTTTGTAGTGGCTACCGCTTTTAAGAGACGGCCATCTCCAATCAGGCGAATTCAGCTTGCCAGCTATGCTGGATCCGCCACCCGCAAATTATTCTTACATTGCGCCCGATGTTCTTTTGCCAGGCACTCGATGGGTGGACGCTCATCGAGGAGTCTTCACAGTCATATTGGAGCCCGTTTCCAGCGTTCATCCGCAAGACAAATATATCGACAGGTAATATACATATGTATATTATATATACATATTATAATAATAGTACATTATTTTTTTTTCTCTTATGTAAAGCGAATAAAAAAACATGTAATAATTTTCATATTACAGATTTTTATCGTTATGCGGCTTTTTGGAAACCGGTCAAGTTCCGCCCCGTATCGGCGAAGCGGGCATGGAATCGGAATTGAAATCAGCCCTCCTCGAATTAGCGCGCGCCTCGCATTCCGCCTTGGTGCGATCACTTCCCCAATTATTGGATCAATTGCTGTGTCTTCTAGTGCGACCGCCAACATTACCGTCTCAATCACTGAACGTCGCCGCTACCATTTTCGAGGCCCTAGGACTGCTCGTGCGAAACATCACCAATCTACCGGACGGTCAATTGGACGCGCATGGTAGACATGCACTTTTGGCCACCTACATCGCGTATCAATGCTCCCTGCCGAGCATGACTCACAACGGGGGCGTTGCACGAGCACAGAGCAATCCCGATTTGCCCTTGGAAGACCTGGAGATGGAGATCCACTCGCGAGGATTGGACAGAACCGCGTCGATGCGGCAAGAATCGCCCTCGATCAACAGTCATCCCACCAGGAGACTTCTACACGAGGAGCTCGCCTTGCACTGGGTTGTATCCACCGGTCAGGCGCGCGAGCTGGCGATAACTCATTCCTGGTTCTTCTTGGAGCTGATAATGCGATCGATGGCCGTGACGCTGTCCGAGATGGCATCCCTGGAGGCACTGCGAAAAGTGAGATTCTCGCCGCAGTTCTGTGACGATGTTGCGACGCTCACCGCTGCGTTAACGTCCGAGGTGGTATCGCGCTGCGGCAAGGAGACCCGCGTGGCGTCCAACTTGATATCGAGCCTCGGCAACTTTCTGTCCGACCTGCTATCCGTGATGGACAGAGGATTCGTCCTGTCGCTCGTCCGCGCCGCCTGTTGCTCGCTGTCGGATGCATCGATGCACATTCCCGACTCGGCGGCGTTGTTCGCCCTGAAACTCGATCTCGTGAGAACGGTGTGCTCGCACGAGCACTACGTAGCGCTGAACCTTCCCTTCGGCACCGGCTATACATCAGGATCCGCCCCGGCATCGCCCAGTCCGTCGACTGGCAGCTCGGGCAGTCTGATATCTACTCTCGTGCCTGGGGATAGAGCTCGGTTTTCGGAACTCAGTCAGGAATTCAGGCAGCAGCACTTCCTGGTCGGCATCGTTCTGTCCGATCTGGCGAACACCTTGGAGATACCAAATCCGATGCTGCAGAATAAAGCCATCGGGACGGTTCGGCATCTTATGAGCTGCCACGACGCCGATCCACGATATTCCGATCCCGCGGCGAAGGCCAGAGTCGCCGCGCTGTATCTGCCGTTGCTGAGTATCTTGATGGATGCCTTACCCCAGCTTTATCACTGGGACTCCAAAGACAAAAGCGTCTATCCGGATGAATCCGGATCGATCACGCAATCGGTGGCACTGGCCATTGCCGGCGGAGCATCGGCGGACACCGCGGGCAATCAGTGCCGCGTGTCCTTGAGCTCCGAAGCTACTCGACATCTGTTAATGTGTGCCTTGTGGGTACTCAAGGGACTGGAACGAACCGCCCTGGCGCAGTGGTGCTCCGAACTCAGCGCGCGACGCATTCTGAGCTTGCTGCAAGTGCTGAACATAGCCACCGCGGCTTTCGAGTACAAAGGCAAGAAGGCGCTTAAAAGGCTGCCACCTCAAGCAACGGCCACCAGCGATATTAGATCGCGACTGGAGGACGTGATTCTCGGCCAGGGAAGTGCCCGGAGCGAAATGATGCTGCGAAGAAAGGAGAGAGTGACTGGAGACAAATTGAGATGGCGCAAAGATCAAATGCCTTACAGGTATAAATATTATATTATTTAAATTATAATAAAAATCGTAATTATATATAAATTTATCGTTCTTAAAGATCTTGTGAACAACCGGAAGGAAGAGCTGTGGAACAAGACGCCCATATAGAAGGAGCCTTAGCGGCTGAGGCTTCTCTTGTCGTATTAGATACTTTAGAATCCGTAGTTCAAGCCGACGGCGGTGGAGGTATTCATCGATTTCTTTATTTCGCATATTTGAAAATATGCCAGTATAATTTACACGTTCGAAATTATTTAGGCGCGGTTGTCGGTGCGGTGTTGAAAGTGTTACTAAGAGCGCTGGCTAGAAATCAAAGTACATCGGTGCTTCAGCACATGTTCAATACACAGCGGGCTCTAGTCTTCAAGTTCCATAGCGCATTGTTCGACGAGGAGAGCGAGCGCTGCGGAGACTTGTGTTTAACACTGCTCACTCGATGCAGCTCGCCCTTAAGCGCCATTAGAAGTCACGCTGCTGCGAGTCTGTATCTGCTGATGCGACAGAATTTCGAAATTGGAAATGTAAGTTAATCACCACTTCGGGATGTTGATTGTTCATGAAACAATGTTATTTCAATCTTACATGTTTCACAGAATTTTGCGCGCGTCAAGATGCAAGTCACGACATCCTTATCCGCTCTCGTTGGCAGAGGAAGAGCTCCTAGCGAGGGAGCACTGCGTAGAGCCTTGAAAACGGTGCTGGTATACGCTGAGAGAGATACAGAGCTTGCAGACACAAGTTTCCCCGAACAAGTGAAGGACTTACTGTTCAATCTTCATATGATTCTCTCTGATACTGTTAAGATGAAGGAATTCCAAGAGGATCCCGAAATGCTCTTGGATCTAATGTACAGGTAAGATTTTTGAATCTTAATAAAATACGATAATTCAGTTTATGCTTTAAAACATGACGAATTAAGGGATATATCTTGTTATTTTGTTTAGAATTGCCAAGGGTTATCAAGGATCGCCTGATCTTCGCCTGACTTGGCTCGCGAACATGGCGCAGCAGCATATGGAAAGGAAAAATCACACGGAGGCAGCAATGTGTTTGGTGCACAGCGCCGCTCTGGTAGCGGAGTATCTTCATCTACTAGAGCCTGGTGGCGGTGGCCGACCTGTAGGAGCTGTCGCTTTGAACGCCGTTACACCGAACGCTTTAGAGGAGAGCGCGGTCGGCGATGACGTACTGGCCAGAAGGGAAGAAGGACTTTGCTTAGGCCCTGATTTTTCAGAGAGCGGATTGGCGGGTTTATTGGAGCACGCGGCTAGCTCTTTTCACGCGGCTGGAATGTACGAGGCCATTCCTGATGTCTATAGGGTATTGCTGCCTATAGCGGAAGCTGCACACGACTACAAGAAATTAGCTAATATTCACGGGTATGAAAATGTTAATTGCTTAACTTATGATATGGAGGATATATCTTTGCACTTCGAAAATTTACTACATAAGATCTTTTTTCGGGACTTTTTTTTCAGTAAACTTCACGAGGCATACACGCGAGTGGAACAACTGGCCGGCAAACGCGTCTTCGGGACGTACTTCAGAGTTGGTTTCTACGGCGTAAGATTCGGCGATCTCGCCGGCGAAGAATTCGTTTACAAAGAGCCGACCTTGACGAAACTCCCGGAGATATTCTCGAGACTCGAGAACTTCTACGCCGAGAGATTCGGCGCGGATAATATAGTAATAATAAAGGATTCGAATCCTGTGGATCCCAGCAAGCTGGAATCGGACAAGGCTTATGTACAGATCACTTACGTGGAGCCGTACTTTGAAGCGCACGAGCTTAGGCACAGACCAACAGTTTTCCATAGGAATTTCAACATAAGTGAGTATTGATTTACACAAAATATTATATTTTGTTATCACAAATAATTTTTTTAATTATTTTTACGATGACTTTGACTTTTAGAACGATTCGTTTATGCAACACCTTTTACTCCTGGTGGCAAAGCTCACGGCGAGTTACGAGAGCAATGCAAACGGAAGACTATATTAACGGTGGCCACGCATTTCCCGTATTTAAAAACCAGGATTCGAGTCGTAGCTCGAAAACAGATAGTTTTGAGTCCCATTGAAGTCGCAATCGAAGACATACAGAAGAAGACTGCCGAGGTATTGCGATCGCTCTTTCATGCCTTATTAATTTTAAAATATGTGTGTAATAAATTTTTATATCTTAATTAGGTGGCCGCTGCAACCGCTCAGGAACCACCTGACGCAAAGATGCTACAAATGGTCCTTCAAGGTTGCATTGGCACGACGGTCAATCAAGGACCCGCTGAAGTGGCGGTCGTGTTTCTTTCCGGTTTGCGCGAACAAAACGCACAGCCGAGCAGATTGCAGCACAAGCTCCGTTTGTGTTTCAAAGATTTCCAGAAAAAGTGTCTCGACGCTTTGCGGCGCAACAAGAATCTGATCGGTCCCGATCAGCGGGATTATCAGCGGGAGCTGGAGAGAAATTATCAAAGATTGACCGAGAGACTGGCACCTCTCATCGCTTGGAGGTAAGAAGGTTTTAATTAAAGAAACGCGTATCTTTTTAAGTTTCCCACGTTTAAAGAAATTTTTGCTGCCACATAGCGGACCGTCCTTAATTAATCAGCAAACTGTACCATCAACTCCTCCTCAACGCTGGTAAGGGAATGAAACACTGCCATAGAAGCTTACCAAAGACTCTTCTTCTTCACGTGCCATCTCCGCGTCGGAGGTTGGCAATCACTGGTCATAGCAATTTGAGAATTTTGGAGGTTGCTCTTCTGAAAAGTTCTCTCGAAGTACATCCAAACCATTCCCTCAGATTGAGCAGTCATGATATTCTTCTTCCTAGATTTTGTTTTCCTTGAATTTTCCTCTGAATTATCAGTCGTAGTCAGTGAAATATCTTGTTCCCCTTGTTATATGTCCCAGATATTGCAATTTTTTACACTTAACGGTGCTTATAAGTTTCTTTTCTTTTTCTATTCTTCTTAGCACTTCGACGTTCGTTACTCTTTTCGTTCCTCCATGACTTCCTCAGCATCCTTCGATAGATCCACATCTCCAGTGCTTCGAGCTTTTTTAGGGACATTGCGTTTATCGTCCACGCCTCCGCTCCATACAGCAGAGTCGAGAAGACATAACACCTCAGCAAACGAGTGCAATCAGCTTTAAATTCAGGTCCCTGTTGGTTAGTATTCTCTTCATTTTTGTGAAATTCCAAAGACTACTGTATTCAATTATTAATCGCGTTTGCGATTGTCATTTAGCTAATTCTGCTTATACTCTATTTCACTATTGTGAAAAATATTCGTACGTTGAATCCTTATTTTATAACAGGAAAAATTGTAAAATAAATATATATATTTAGCTAGAAGACTAGATATTATGAATTGTATTAGTTACATTATGAATTTTGTTATTTATATTATTTTATATACATGTTATGAGTCATTGATAAATTGATTTTTGTTATAAAAAAAAAAAAGATAAGGATAGTATTATAAAACTATCAGATTTCCGAATTTATTAAGTTGTTAAAAACTTAATGATCAAATATAAAACAAGGATTTAATGTAATTCATTTATATTGAAAGTTTATACTTATTAGTATAAAAGTATTACAATACGTTGTGATCACATTACATAAATGGATTTAGATGTGGTCGAATATTTAGAATTTTTTTCATAACTGAAAAAAATGTATTTGTATATAAATAGTACGTTCTGTTCTATCTATAAATTTTTTCCATCTATTTGCGCGTTTATTTATTAAATTAATTAAAATGTAATGCAATTTTAGCATTACAATATTATATGACTTGCTTATATATAAATGCGAAAACTCTAATAATATTCCCGTATTAATTTACTAAAGATTAATTTATTGCTCTAACTTGTATGACATTTGTTTCGTTATCTATCAATATTTATCTATCACATCTCAGCAATATACTCGTTCATAAATATGAATATTTGACACTGTGTGGTCATCTTTATATTTTATTATACGTCTTTACATTTTATGAACCGAGCGTTGAATACTTTTATGGGCTGAATGTAATTTCCCCAAGGACTAAACTGAAATAATATCTTGACTAAAAATATTTCTTTAAAATTCCCTGATTGCATTGAACGCAATGTAGAATGTAAAGCACTCGGTTTATAAAGCGTAACTTTACAAGAGATAACTCGCATATTTTGTATAATATTTAAGCACATATAAAATAAGCTGAAAGACTTTTCAGAGAAAGATTTTTCGATTATTTAAATATATAAGAGATGAACCGTGACACACGTTTACAGCACCCTTGATCTTAAGTCTCGAATAAAACTGCACTTTTGTATTTCTTGGAAAATATTGGAAATATAGGCGGATTTTGTACACGATCAGTTTGTGTTTCGAAGGATGAGGGAGGAAGGAAGTAGGCGAATATCTGTCTTCATTCGATCAATGGACCCTCGAACAATCCGTTTACGATCCTCCGTGCTGTCTCCCTCCACCTATTCATCATCCCTTCACCATCCTTTTTTTTTCTCTCTTGCATTCGAACAACTTCGTTTTATTGCTGCCTACATGATTCGATTTCCGGATTATCGACAATTGCCCTTGCTCTTCCAGTTTGATACCTCTATTTTACTAAAAATGAAAGATTTATGTAAATACATGTTTCGTCATTTTTTTCCCACAAATAAATTGACATGTCTAAGGTCAATTCTATTATCGTGAATAGGTACGCGTAGAAATTTTTTTCCGTGTATACTGACCTGAAGTGGAAATCAATTCCAAAAAGTTCTTTCCTCTTAGTCCCCATTATCTCTTATTCCCCCCAAAATTCAGCGTAAATGACCGAGAACCGATATTGCCAGCCTCGAAAAATCGATGTCGTTCCGATGCGCTCAAAACGCTCACGTTGCGTTCAACGGAAACAGTAACGATACAGACAACGTGGATTACGTCGAATGTCTTGACTCCGAACAGAAGGGGAAGAGAGAAAGGAGAGGAGACCGAATAAAACGTCTTAAAATGTCGTAACGGAGGCGAGAGAGAGGCTTCCATATTGGAGGTCTCAGATAAAAGGTTTACCTTTGAACTCGGGATGAGACTTCTCGAAGGATTTTCTCGAGGAAAACTTTGATCGCGTTAAGAGATTTCCCCTTCGGGCTACCGGCGAGACCGCGTCGCGGAAAATTCCTCTCGAAGTATTCTCCCGCGATGTGGAGGCGTGCGAAGGAGAGGAGAGAGAGAAGATACGAAGGAGAAAACGGCGTTGAGGGGGAGCGAGGGAATGTGATAGTGCGAGGCACACGCGTTTCGTAAAAGGTATCGTTTGAAATTTTCCCTCTTCGCGTTTCTCTGACGGCGGGGCAACGACAGCGGCCCTGTTTATATTGTCCACGGTCCATTTAACTCTCAAATGCGCCGACGATTTTCCTCCCTATTCCCGGCCCATTTCGCGCTCGCACTCCTGTTGCGTGCCTTCTCGCTTTCTCGCTTATTTGCTAATCTATTTTTTTTTCTCGCCCTTGCCACCCCATCGCGGCCGCAAAGAGTTGCCGCGCTTTTTGTCACCGTTAATCATCGTTATCCTCCCACGTCGACCTTTTTTCTCGTCGTGCACAACAGGATTTTGATTTGCTCGTTCTATACCCGTGCGATTGGATTATTGTTTCCTGAAGAGAATATTTATATTAGAAAAGCAAAGGAGAGGAGAAAGAGAAAGGGAGGAAACTATAACGAGAATTTGAATACGTTATACGTAATTTTGCTCAACTTCAGAAGATTCGTAGAATTTTCGCTAAGAACAGATATACGAAGATTTCCGTGCGATCTGCGGAAATTGTAAATTAAAGTCATATAATTATGTATTATAATTATTAATATATTAATATATTACGTAATATATTAATATATATAAGTATATATAATATTACACACACAATAAAAAATTAGCGCTTAGTATTTTATATCATATATTTATGAGGACTGTATTGAATATTTTCTCTGTATTTACAATCGCATGATTAGTTTCTAATTAAACCTTGCCGCGGTGGACGATTTAAATATTCAAAGTTGGCGCGCGCGAACGCGCAGCGCCATATTAGTTGCATACCGATTCCGGTCGCGGTGGCAGTCGGAACGATCGAGACCGCTCCGGTGTTTTTCGCGTTTTTCATCCGTTGAAAGTACATCGCGCGCGCAAAAAGCCACCGCGGAGGCATCTGCCCGGGCAGATCGTTGTAACGGATTAATCGTCGCGCGCGATTCGGCACTCGTTTTTTCCGTGGCATTCGACATCCAAGTGGGGACCCTCGATTGAAGTTGAAAACGATGTACAATCCCGATGGAAAGCTTAATTCGGACGCGCGCGTGGGACGACGCCGACGACGGACTCCCCTCGCGGTACTTGTCCGGTAAGCAAATCCATCATGGGCCATATAATTAATTGCTTATTTGTTCGCGATTACCTGGGTTATTATTCTTGCGCGGCGTAACGATCGCGCGCGCGCGCTCGCGCGCTCGCGTGTCCGCTTTAGACGCTCGACGATTAATGAATCCGGAATTAGGGGGATAAAAGGGCGGAATCCTTTGTGACTTAATTTACAGTGAAATGCGAGTTATTTGGGATTATGAGGGCGCCCGGGCGTTCCTGGATGTTCCAGCATCTTTGAAAATCCGCGTGAATTCGTCTCGCGTATAATATAATATAATATAATATTATAATATATATTGGATTGAATGGGAAGTTTGTTCCATTTTTTACTAATTGTACGATGACATTATAGTATAATAAATACAAAAATAAAATCGGAACGAATTTTCCGTTTAATCCCATAGTTTCTCGCACGTGCCCTTCAACCTCGACGAATTATTCCTCGCCGCGCAATATCGCGCGTATCTCAAGTGTGCGCGATCGTTAAATATCGCTGTGCAGCGATAACGAGAAGCCGCGGGAATGAATTAGGAACGCGCGAGCCGTCTACTACGAGGGAGACAATGCGAACCCAGCGAATTTTGTGAAAATTTTGCGCAACTTGAACTCTCTCCCCTTCCTGCCCCCTCCCCTCTCGCTCGAGAAAATTTAAATCGAACTTTTCAAAGTTCTATGCTGCTCGAAACCGGCACGGCGGCGGCGGGTTGCACGGTATTGCAAATACGGCGCGATGCAACAGCCGTCGTCTCTCGAGGGACTTCATTCCCCGCTTATCTTTCGTATTATACTACAAATTAATAGCATAAAGAACTTTATTAGAGCAGCGCCGTAATTAAATCGGCTATTTCACTTAGCCGCTCGCATCGAGAAATCCCGTTGGCCGCGCGGCGCATATAATTCCTACAGTTCCCAGGTTCCCTTCCCTCCCGCCTGCCGCCGGCACGTCATTCGCGCGCACAGCCTCCGGCTCCGGATTCTTGTTCCGGCTTGTTCGCGCGGAACGTTTCGCCCATCCGCGATTATGTTATCGAATCGTTGGAGGGGCAAAAAAGAGGTGAAACCCGGCGCCGCGGCGATGCAGGTGGTCCAGGAGCGGGGCGAGAGAGGAGCGAGTCGGGAATTTCATCTCTCTGTCTCGCGAAAATGACGGTCGTACCTCACCGCGATGAATTATTTAGCGTTTTACGCGTCGCCCCTAGGGATACACCGCGATCGATACCGGTTCCGTTTGATTACGCACTGCCGAGTGCGCGAAATTAGCAAACTTCCCGACGTGATACCTGCGGTACGCTCGGCTCTCTTCCTCCCCTTGCTTTTCTCTCCCATCTCTCTCTCTCTCTCTCTCTCTCTCTCTCTCTCTCTCTCTCTTTCTCTCTCGATGAATACGTTAATTACTTTTCCGACAACACGACCGGCGTGGCGGTGTAATTTTCTCCGTGTTGTCTTCCGCGCGACGACGGAGAGAATTTCTCAGACGGCGTTCGCTCGTTTGCGACTCGTTCCTCTGCCCGCCTTTTTCCCCGCTCGCGGTTCTCCCTTTGTGCACTCGCGTCGCCGCTCCCGTAATCTCGTAAATCGTGCGAGGAGAGCCGCGATGAGCTTTTTCGCGAAAACTTCGGCATATCGCACCCGCACTCCCGGCCTCCTCCTCTTGTTCCTCTCCGCAAGCAACGCGTACGCAACGCGCTCGCGCCGACGAAGTTCGCCGAGCCGTAATCCAAGCTTATAATATTAAACCTGCAACAGCAAAACTGTAGTTGCGCCGTCGACATTACGGATTCCCAAAAGTCGCGATGACATTTCGCGCAATCTCGACACCTTAAGCTTCTATCGACGAGATGATTTCATTGTCAGTGTAGTGCGTTAGAATTTTTGAAAAAGCTTATAAGATGATATCCTGACAAAAAGACATGAAAAATTTTATTACGCACATTTCGCGAACACTTTTCCAATAGAATATCATTTTTCATAAAAAATATTGATTTTTATTAATCTTGTTTCAACTTCTAGAGTTATCTTTCATAACAATATTATTTTATGTAAAATATTAGAAATTTTCTTATCTAAGATTTACAATCTTTCTTATGCGAAATATGCAATTAAATTTATAATAGTATTACCATATAAGATAATTTCTACAACAAATAATGTATTACCACATAAGATAATTTCTACAACAAATATAGATAGATATAAAAAGAATAAATATTCGAGATGATGTCTGTCTTTGTTTTGCGTTGCTACGATTATTTCTCATTGAATTAAGATATTTCGAAGATTTTGCGGCGCGATCATTGAGAAAAC